TTTGCCTGTGGTACGGGCTTATATCAGACGTCCCTGTGTTTTTGCCTGTGGTACGGGCCTAAATCAGACTTCCCTGTGTTTTTGCCTGTGGTACGGGCCTATATCAGACGTCCCTGTGTTTTTGCCTGTGGTACAGGCCTATGTCAGACGTCCCCGTGTTTTTGCCTGTGGTACAGGCCTATATCAGACTTACCCGTGTATTTGCATGTGGTTCGGGCCTATATCAGATGCCGCGTAGTTACGTGCCTCGTAAATTCCCAACCTGTTTGTTTTTACTCTGGATAGTAACCAGTCTCATGAACATTCAGATCTGCACCCATAGCAAGTGTTGCACAATGTTTTAAGATATTATAAACTATATGTCATTTGTCAGAATGTTGACTTAAAATGCCATATTGCTTACAGTTTCATCTTAATGTGCACGTGCTGCTCTTATCTTATAAATGCAGGAAGTGTTTTTGTGCAGGGTGTCACAGTAATGCTTTATTTCTGAATCTTATGCATTAAACATGGAACATTATGCTGGTGTTAATGCTCTCTATTTGCTTAATATGTTTATTTGCAGTGCTTGGAAATGCATTTTACTGATTAAATGTAAACATACACTTAATTTATAACTCCACTGCAAAATCTGTGCGGAAGGAACTGCTATGCTGATATCTATGCAGTGTGTCAATACATTGTGTACTATGCATTTTGTCAATGGCAACTTCTTACATCAGTGGTCAAGCAAGATTGGTTATTTCTCAGCTGATTGGTCTAATTCAGGGGTCTCCAACCTTTTTTTTTTTTACGAGAGCTACTTTTACAAACAAAATAATTTGGGGAGCTATTGGGGGTGGTAGGGTGAAAGAATGCACTTCTTGAAATATTTTTATTTAAATGTGGGTGAGTGAATCTTACCGAGGAGGTTAATCATCTGTATATTATCTGTGGTTTGCAAATATGCTGAGGTCTTACCAAGTTCCAGTTTTAATTATTAACTCTGTTAGGATGAATTACTCCCACTCGTACCGTACCCCACCAATACTGAAAAAAGCTCTCATACCCCAGTGAATACAGATGCTCTTTGGTGGACAGTCTCTTACTTGCAAGTAAATTTATGAGAAAAGAAGAATTAGAGAGTGTGCTATAGATTCGTCACCAGGGTTTTGGTTCGAATCCCGCTTCCACTTTTCAATTGTGGAGTTTGCATGTTCTTCCTGTGTCCTCCCACTGTGTATATGAATGTGCCCTGTCATAGGTTGGCATCACTTCTTGGCTGTACTAGCATCCATCGAACATCAAATTAGAGTTCTTTGAGAGTCTTAAAATCTAAAAATGATATTTAAAATAAAAGTACATCTGGTCTCTAACTTTATTTTATCGTATTGTACTATTTCGCCTGAAATAAGTAGGCATAACAAATTAAATGTCAGTTCTGAATAATTTCCAACAGAGGGCGCCCAAAGCACTAAGTGCAGCAGTATAGTACAACAGTACAAATGTCAACAATTACGATGATATTTGCTAGGAATTTCTGACATGGTTTACTGATGCTAGCCAACAATTCCCAAGCAAGCATTTTGTTATAAATCAACTGAGCTAAAAATAGTTACCAGACAGTTCAAACTAATAGAGTTTGACAATAACAATAAAGGCATTTTGTATAACCTTCCATCTGTAGGAAAGGTTCAGAAGGGTAACTCGTGCTTTTTTTTGTGAATTTACTACCCTGGATCACCTTAAAACGTTTTTAACGCTCTTTTTGTTACATTAGACCAGGGTTTTTCAAATCTGGACCTCGATTCCAAATCCAGACCTTGTTTTCAATAATTACTGATTCTGATTGGTCAGAGGCTTCACACCTGACTGACAGGTAAAGGAAGGCTGGAAAACCAGCAGTGCTCGGACCTCGAGACCGTGATTTGAATAACCCTGCATTTGACAGAGGATTCTCTTTCGTCTCCTCCCCAAATGACCATACCTCTGATACCCTGGTGTTTCTGTGAGTTTTGGAGACATTTCCTGTTCCGCTAGTGGGTCGATGGTGAATCTGTCAGCCCCCTGAAAATCAGGGCAAACCTGAGCCCTGCTGTCTCACTCTGTAGCCAATGTTCACTCAGTCAGGGCACCATGCCGCTGATGTCCTTACAGAGAACTACGCTTCCCCTCTGACAATGACCGTCTCTGAACGTGCATCGACAAATGTGTAATTTTGATTCCTGCCTTTCTTAAAGTGCCTTTCACATGGGGTGTGGTGGTCCAGTGGGTGCATGATATCTCCAGGGCATGACCAGGATCTTTGTAAGGGAACAGGTTCATTTAATCAGACATAATTTTGAGTTTCCAGAAAATGTCAGTATCTTATGTGGTTAATAAAGTAAGAAGGTAAAAAAATAATTTATTCCAGCGATTCCATAACACATATTGGCCCTGGCCCCAGGAATGTCCGTGGCCTTTTCTGACATGTATACACATTTCTCGGTCATTGCCATAGGAACGGCGTCCTGATCGAGTGCACACAAACTCCCAAGAAAGCGCTTAATTTATCAGTATAAATCACGGCAGCAAAGCAAACACATTCGGGAGGGAAAACGTGGTAAAATCTGAGTAAATACATGTAAAACATGAACAGCTGTAGCCCCGGAGAAGACGACGGCAGATGGCGCGACGGTCTCCAGGGAGACGGTTTGGGCGTGACGTCCAGCCGCTGTCCGGACAGGAGGCGCGCATAGCAGCGGGAAAGCGCGCACGTTCAAATGGAGCCCGAAAAGAGCTCAGGTGCAGAACCGCGCCGTGGATACGGGACGGGGGCGCGCTGTGCGTCCGGACCGGGGTTCGTGAATATCACCAGGAATTGCAGAACGCGGATAAGAGTCCATAATACCCTTTGTTCATTTATATAAAATCTAATAACAACCACTTATTATGAACATGCTTTAAATTAATTACTTAGTACTTTTAAAATACTAAGAGAAAAACAATTGGACAAATGCACTATTTATTAACCAGTGACAATGTTGTATATGATAAAAATGTAAAATAACCAAATATGCCATACTGTAGAAGGGTATGCTATTATGGCCTGGCTGAATTGTATTAATATAATCAATGTACTTGGTATAATAATTTTCTGCTGCTTTGGAAGGATTGTGTTTCCACTGTGGTTCTTCTGAAAATGATTTTTTAAGAAATGTCAATCCTTTTGTGTCCGTTCTAATGGCTAAAGAGGAATCTGCTGTAATAGGAACTCACTTTATCTGGGGCACCCAAGCTGGCTGCGGCCCAGTCTACAATGTAGGTCAGTGTGTTTCCGTGCTTCTCGGTGGGAAGGTGAGGGGGTGGACAGAGGTAGGGGTGGCCTTGAGGAGCCTGGGGGGGAAGTTGTGTGGAATTTCGGAGGCATCTGTGATGTTTGCCATGAAAATCCGGGGCCATGCTAGCAGGAATGTGGGGTAGGAAGGGGCCGGTGTTCCTGCAGGGGACCGAGCCAGTCCTCAACTGTCACCCCATCGTCCGGAAGACGGGGACAGGAACCGAGCTCAGGACACAGTGCAGTGCATTGTGTTGGAGAATGTTGAACTGGTAGCAGTCTGCACAGTCTTACCCCTAACAAACTCTCCATGTATGTACAAAAGGCTCACTTTTTCATTTCTTCGGTTTATAAGTAGGGTGGCAGTCTAGAGCGGCATGCGTTTCTGTATTGCTGTCTCAGGCTAACTGCTCATCTAAACAGTTACTACAGCAAGAGACCTAAACCAAAAACCTTCAGGCTTTCAGTCTGTGTCCCTAACCAAGAAGCCACCAGCTCTCCATGAGCTGGCTGATTTAAAACAGATGTCATTCATTCAAATTCAAGGCTTCCATCCATTTTCCATCCATAGGGTTGTGGGTTGGGGGTCATTCTGTGCCTGTGCAGATATACCCAGGCAGAGATTCATGCTTTATGCACTAAACTGTTCTTCGATCGAAACACTGACTTTGTATGGTTTGTTTATATGAGTCCCTGCCCATCAGCAGACAACACACAGACACACATTTTTTTTTTGTCGTGTTTACATATTTTCTCTTTTTAAGACGACTTTGGAAGACAAACGGAAGACATAAAAGAAATATATTAAACAAAATAGCAGTTAAATACAAATCAAATCTTCATCTCAATACAAAAAGACTCTTAGGCACTTAAAACACCTCGAAAAATGAAGTGGTTTCCAGAAAGTGCCACTCTGCCAAAATGGCAGAGTCTGTACAGACATGGCGTACATCACACACGCTTCCCACACGCATTCCGCATGTACATGGATGCAAAGGCATTACTCCGACATTACTCCGACATTACTCCACGTCACTAGATCGCCACGCTCTGTTCAGCTGATGCCTTATAGTCAGAGCGGGTCTGACATTTGCAGGAAGCAGCTGCTTTCCTTTACCTATCAGCTGTGACAGGACGTCTCTTGACAGATAATATCTCAGTAATATTGATACTGCTGATAGTTTACTTCTCTCTCGGCAAAGAATATTAAACTGGAATTTTACCACGTTTTCTCTAATCTACTCAAAAAAAATAATAACCAGTTGCATACGACCAGAGAAGAATTCCTGTTCAAATGGACAAACTAGGAGCTGTTGTCCTGTAATGGACATATCCAACTTGTTCCACTGCAAAACGTGCAGTTTCTGCACTCTTCATGTCGTCGTCGTTGGCCCAACAAGGTCATTGATAACACAGATAGCTAAGGCAGCTGTCGAGTTGCATCTGCAGGATTCTGCGGTCAGCCTGAGCACAGGATGGACCTGAATCTAAGAGTCACACCAATCAAATGAGAGTAAATCTTAAAGTGCAAGCAAATACTTTTGGCCAATCACCCAATCGCCTGAGGGTTTGACTGATGGGCAGAAGGCCCAATGGTGTGATGGGGGCTTGCTATAGGCGGGAGTCTCACATCAGAGATACTGGGTGCCCACGCTGCTACGGTTCTTTCACTGGATCCTGGCTTGGGGGGGGAGCCGGGGGGGGGGGGGGGGGGGGGGGGCTGCAGGTAAATAGGCCTCAGTGGGCGTAGGTGTGGACGTCATTGTGGAGGCTGATAGACGGCCCGGAGGCGTTTCCGTGGGTGGGGCAGTGTCGCTGGCAGCGGCAGCGGCGGATCCACATGAGGCGGTGTGTGAAGCTCTCGCCGTCGGGGCAGTGGAAGCGCAGCCGCACCGTGCGCGTCAGTGAGGGGGTGCAGCAGCGGCTGTCCGAGCAGGAGCCGCAGGAGCGCGGCCGGTACCACTTTGCCGTGGAGCAGCCCGCGAACGTGATGCGCACAGGCTGCCGGGGCCACACCGTTCGCTGGCACTTCTTGCCTCTCTGTAGGGCGACAGAGAGAAGCCAGTCGGCCAGATTAGCCAGGGAGTCACATGACAACGCATGTGGCAGGATGTATTTAAGAGGACAGTACATGAACACACACTGTGGGCAGTGGTAACTTAATGGTTAGGGAAGCACACTTGTAATTGAAAGATTGCTGGTTTGAATCCCCGACCAGCAAGGCACCACTGAGGTACCCTGAGCAAGGTACCGCCCCCCCAAGCACTGCTCCCCGGGCGCTGAATTAGCTGCCCCCTGCTATGTCACAATGTCACATATGGGTTAAATGCAGAGGACACATTTCATTGTTGTGCACTGTGTGCTATGGTGTGTCAACAATGACCACTGATCACTAAATTCTAATTCTGAAAGTATTGACAGATTTTTTTTTTTAAGATTACGTCGAATAGAGTTTCTGATTGTCGGTTTTGATTTACTTTCGATTAATTGCCCAGTCCTATAGGATGGATGGATGGATGGATGGATGGTTGATTGGTTACCACACTGTTCATCCCCAGCCACAGAGTGACATCCTGCCCAGTTACAGATGGCAGGAGGCAGTCTGTCCCACCTTGAGCTGCGGTCTGACCTCCGGGTCACACGGCCGGATCTGGCACAGTCGTGTCTCCCTGACGAGCTGGCACTCTGCGTTGCTATTGGTCACACGGCTGGACACGCCCATCCCACAAGTGGCAGAGCACTCCGACCAATTGGTGGTCTGCGGCAGGCACTGGGCGGTCTGCAGGGACTGGACAAAGGAGCGGGGGCGGGACTTCCACTCTAGGGGGGCAATGGGAGCCAAATTGCACGCTTAGCAAAGGCTCTTCATCCCTTTTTATGGTCTTACACATTATAATACAGCCAGTATTTTGTCTGGATCCCCCCCCCCCCCCCCCCCCCCCCCCCAACCGATTCAGCATCTGTTCTTTTGCCTTGATGAGGTCTTTAAAGGTCGGGCGAAAAAAAGGTTAATCATGGGCTGAACTTGCACAAAAACAAGTCACGCTTCATAATTCCCTGACCACAGGAATGTACGCTTGTTTATTGTCACCGAACAACAAAATTTCAGCCATCTGTCTAGTTTTCATCCTCCAGTTTCCCCGCAAGACTCAACACGGGAATAAAAAAATAAAGATCCACAAACTATCAGATGCTCTGCACAAGATGCTCATTGCCTCTTACATCGCTAACTTTCCACATCTGCGCTGTCCTGATGGGGGCCCCACATGGGGGGGGGGGGGGGGATCAAACCCTGCCGTGGACTCCTGGCTAAAGCCTGGCATGGAGCGGACATACAGTACAGACACCCAACAGAAACATGCAGCACACAGATGCTAGCATGCAGCATATAAGCCAAAAACACACACTGTTTACACGACCTCAGTCCAAAAGCGGGGGGCAAACTTGAAAGGCAGCCATGCTTAAAGGGGTGACAGAGAAGCAGCGGCGCAGGAATAAATGCGACAGGTACCTTGGAATGTACCCGCAGCGCCAGGGTGGCGGGAGTCCGGCGGTGGTGGCAGCAGTGCGCTGTTGATGGCATTGGGGTGAGCCGGGGGCCCCGGGGGACCCTCACCCACATGGTTGCTGTCCTCGCAGACCCACTCCTCGCAGCAGCGGCCCTCAGGGCGCTGGAGGCGCGGGCTGGCGCAGCGCGGGTCCGGCAGTGGCATGCGGTGCGGGCACAGCGGCATGCAACCCAGCACTCCATCCATGCAGCTGCACTGGTGTTGGCAGCTGGGCTGGAAATGCTCGCCGTGCTGGTAGAGGCGCCCGCCGAACTCGCATGGCCGGCCCTGCGCATCAGCTGCAGGTGCAAGAACACATGATCACGTGCATGCAGCCGCACCACAGCGCCCCCTACGCTCTGCCTTATACTCGGGAGCATCAATGCTCCTTGATTTAGCAGATGCTATGAAAATACAGGTTTAGTAAGAGTAACAGAAGAAAGTAACAGATTTAATAAAAACACAAAGGGCCCAGTAGTCGGCTGCAGTTTCGTTAAGTGGTACCCAACCCAGGAACAGGGTAACAGATTCTTACTAACCTAACGCAGTAACAACCTGAACAATTAACAGGTGCACTAATGCATAGGCAGAGAAAAAATAACTCATTAGATGGAAACAGGAAGTTTCTAAGTCTCTAGCAAGTTACTCCAATGTCCAGTGACCAATGACTGCATTGGGAATTAATCAACATTCCCACCCACCAGCTGATGTCCCCCAATGCTGTACAGTGTTATATACCTTTGGATTAATGGCACATGCTGCTTGGGAATATTAATCGTAAAAGATTTACAAAGACAATGTGTGATTACGACCTTCTGTCCCCCCCCCAGGTCCTCATCCCAGTAGAGCCCCCACTTTGGGTCATTCCCTGTCCCCCCCAGGTCCTCAGCCCGGGAGAGCCCCCACTCTGGGCCATTCCCTGCCCCCCCCCCCAGGTCCTCATCCCAGTAGAGGCCCCACTTTGGGTCATTCCCTGCCCCCCCCAGGTCCTCACCCCGGCAGAGCCCCCGATCTGGGTCGCCGTTTGCAGCCATCTGGCAGCGCAGACCCTTGATGTGGTCACAGGGCTGGCTGGGGCTGCAGTCCTGGTTGAACTGGCGGGCGCAGACCCTGCAGCAGCCGCATGCGTCGGTGGCCAGGCTGACCCCCGGCGGGCAGATAGGGGGTGATGAAAGGCAGGAGCACACTCGGGGGCAGCTGCTGTTAACCTGGGGGGAAGGGGGGGGGTCGTCAACAGACCTTCATGACCAACAAGGAAGAGTGTCAATGGACAAAGTCGGCAGAAAACGAACCCTTTACAGTTTGTAACTGAAGGAAGGAAACAAGTAAAAGTATGCAGGTTTGCCTCTGTGTGTGTGGGGGGGGGGGGAGGGGGGGCCATTCCTGAGGTTAGAGGTTGGAGTTTTTATGTTTAATAAATGGAAACAACTTTGTACCTGAATGTTGCTTGTTCTTTGTTCTGGCTAATGACAGCAATATGAGTGGCATTGACAGTACGGTTGCCATGGAGATGTTGTTTTTTCATGTCAGGAAACAAACAAAGAGAGAGAGAGAGAGAGAGAGAGCTCCGTGCCCCTGCCACACTGCGGGGAGACCCACACCTGACCTCCTCCCCCCGCGGCACCCTGAGTGGGCATGCTTGCAGCCTTTACATGGCCAACAGGAGCTAAGTCCCCCCCCCCCCCGCAGCCCACATTCCAGCCGTCGGCAGCCTGTCACGGCTGTTTACTGTTAGGGGGCGTCAGCAGAGAACAGACACAGACCACGCGGCGCACGGCACACAGCTGGAACCGGCCTGGTTTGGGCTCCTACCACCTCAGAGGAAGGACTGACAATCTCTACACAAGAATAAGGTTCAACCACAAACTGCAGCAGGCATGGCCAGCATCGCTCCTAATTTCTCATACTAAAGTTCATGAAACTTTCGGCATGAATGCCTGTAAGGTTACTGTAACGTCCACATGTGCTAAAGACAGAGACCTGCCAGATTCAGGAGTTAATGGCCAAATGCTCAGCAATCGTACAATGTCATATAATGGCAGGTCATTCACGCCATGAGGGAACAGATGCAGAGACAGTGATGACCAGAGGTCCAGTCATGATGAAGGAGTATAGCTCTATGTAAGAGAGAGCGGCGTGCAGTTCGGTTTGGGGACTCACTGTGGCTGCAGTGATGCAGAGAAGTGGAAGCAGAGTCAGGAGGGAAGCCGGTGCCAAGCTCTTGGGGGCAAACATGCTCTCCTTGTTTCCTGGCAACGAATGTGACCGTCGCTGAAGCCTCAGAGTCCGTGATACGCGGGGGAGTGAAGTCCCTGTCTGTGTTCAGAGCCCGCCTGGGTTTGCGTGTCAGTGCACTGAGTCCTACGTCTGTCCCGCACCCTGCCTCCCCCGCCACTCTCAGCGGCTCTCCGCTCCGCTTCATTGAGAAATCAGTCCTCTGCCGCCCGGCCACTTATAGCGGCTGGCCGCCGGCCCCCCGTGACATCACTAGGCAGCCCCTGAGTGGGTGGGGCGGGGGGAGAAGTGGTGGAGCAGAGGGGACGATTAAAAAGGCAGAACGGTGAGTGATTGAGGAGAGGAGATCCGGCTGGCGGATATGCCAGAGGAGACACGCACCGCGGTAAAACCGAATCCCTGTGAAATTCGCACCTGTCTTTTTCACAGGGAAATAAAAGCATAAAATAAAAACAAAGACAGATTCCCTTGTGCAAAATCCTGTGGTGTAAGTGTGATTTACAAATATATGCACAGTGCAAAATCTGCTCCAGTTTATTTTTGTCAAGTAAGGATTTGTTGCACATGTAAAGCAAAATTTATTAGAATGTGCAGAGTAGAAAATTCGCAGCCACACTGCGTGTGACATTCATCTCTCTTTGAATCTGGTACAAATTTCAAGAAAAATGAATATTACAAAGTGTGACAAGGCTTAAATAACTGAAAGGTTTAGGGATTGTTTGTTTAAAAAAAAAGAAAGAAAAAAGTCAAATTTCAAGCTTAAAATGGTGCAGATTTGGAACTCGTGCAAAGCTTGGGAAACAATCCAGACGACGATGCGACTGAATAAACATGCAGCGCCTGGCCAGTGCGAGCGGCGGAGAGGGGAGGTAACCCCACAGCCTTCTCGGGTGACGCGCGAGCCTCCTAATGGCCTGACGGCTGCGTCGCTTTCAGCGTCAGCCAAGGCTGAGAGGGGCTAGACACCTTAGTCAAAGATTCCGTAACCGGAGTGGAAATATAGGGCGACCATTAAAAAAAAAAGAAAAACAGGAGACAGGGAATCCCCTCTTTGCCTGGTTACGAGGTGTTTGAATGCTGAAAACAATGGAGAATCCCACCAACCCCCCCTCATCGTGGGAAGAGCCTGTGCTCGGATCCCCCTCCCTGCCACAAACCGGCATCCTTCCAAAGGCTTTCCTGACATGTCACATTCCAGGAAAGGCAGGTTCCCTCGCCACTGACCCTGTTTGTTCTCATAGGAAAAACACAAACCGGGTTTGTCGGCCTGAGAGAACATTTGAAAAAGTGTTTTTGTTCTAGTACAGGAAGTCCTTGGGTTCACTCTGGCTCACGCTGTCGTTAAATGGCGGAAACGGAGCATTTTGGATGGGATGGCCATCAAGAGCTAGCAGGCCTGACTAATGCCTGGTACTAAGGGCTTACGAAGGTGGAGTTCCCCGTGGGGGCAGCCCAGAACATCAGCAGACCTTCATAGTGTGTTCCCAGTTTGATATTTTCTGATTATAGGTTAGAGTCCCCATAATGCCATAGTCAGCTGCGACAGATACCACAGAACGATACAACCAAGACATGAGGCAGTGGCAGGATGCAGCCCTGCTCGCAGTGGCCATGATTTTAGGATGACAGCATTTTTCTAGTCATTCCTGTTGTCATCCTCAGCGATTCTGCCCTAGGAACTGGTGGCAGATTCAATTCCTCGTGGCTGTGGGTGTAACATGTCCGCGCACTGAGTGTCCGTGGCGTGTATCGGGGTGGTGTAACATGTCCGCGCACTGAGCGTCCGTGGCGTGTATCGGGGTGGTGTAACATGTCCGCGCACTGAGCGTCCGTGGCGTGTATCGGGGGGGTGTAACATGTCCGCGC